GGGAGTAAGCTAGCACAACAACTACGCAATAATGGATTGTTGATTCGACAAACTAGCATCTTAACGCTGAAAGTAACTGTTATGAACCGCCCCTGGTACTGCTAACTAAGTCGAACGCCGAACAAGGAACCCGTAAGAGTGAGACAGAGAAGACGGGTTGGCCAGAGAGAGGGGAAGTTTACTGCGACAAGCACGTTGCAGCAAGTCAGAGCAAGTCGTTGAGTGTGTGTCAGGTCCAACAAAATTAAGGCAACAAACGATGGTGAGCTAGGTCCATTGGCCAATCAGCTTTTGGTTGCTGGCGTGATTAAATTTTGATTATCGATTGCTATGACTGCGAGTCGTGTTTGCGGCCTGTGGCCGATCGATAATCTGGTGTGTGCGCGCCGCATGCATAGGCTATCTGCGTCTGCTAAAAGAGTAATCGCGGGAATGGGCACATTCCCAGCAGTAACCAATCAGCGTTCGATAAGTTGGCGTCAATTCTGACCAGTGTGAAAGGTTCGCGCTGAATTCCGTCACTAGGAGAATTTGCCAGTACTCCCCGAAACAATTAGCACATTTATCGCTCGCCAATATGGGGGAGAATGCGTCTATTACCACGATCATTCACCTTACAGAAAGGCCCCTGGGTGCAACAACACGCCACTGTCATGAGAGCGCGCGCCGTGTCTATCGATTTTTCCTCATAGCTGATTGGTCCCTGTCGCTGACGCCTGCTCACGGAGCGGACTGAATAAATATCCCGTAGCCTTTTTAAGAGGACTTGCCTTGACTTGCTCTGCAAGAATGAACTTCTCTCCCTTGCCGATTGGCTTCCCTTCTTCTATGGCGCTGGCGTTCGGAACAACGGTTGGGCTAGCTCAGACGTCGTGCTAATTACAAGTAAAAGGCGCGGGTCAAAAAAACATGGACGGAATACAACCAAGCTACTTTAAAAAAAGCAAGTCTTCAAATGGAATCAGAATCAAAAGCAGCATCGGATGGAAGGAGGGGGTAGACGGTAAACGTACCATCAGATTGGAAGAAATATCCTCCAAAACCTGAAACTCCGAGTTGGACTTCACCAGACCCCTAAAGTGCGCCAGTTCCAGCATGGCACGCACAGCCTCCGAAGTGCCCCACACCGACGGCAGCGCTCCCACATCCAGAGAGGTGAGGCTGG